CATTTTAAAGTTCTAGTTCAGGCAAAACATCAGATTTACCCATGTTTTCTTTTTTCCCTCAAATGTAGTGATGACAAGCGTGTTGTCTGAAGTTTGCTTCTTTAGTTTTGTACTGGAGCTATGAGGCTAATGTAGCTTACAAGTACTGGAAGCTTGTAGCCAAACAATTATCATTGTGCAAACCATATTCATGAATCACAGACTTGCCTGAAACTGTGCTGAGCTGTTAAGTAATCTGAAATAGACCTGCTTCTGTGGTTTCAGACACTGTACAACACGCTGTAATTTATACAAACAGACAAAACAGACAAGATTCAAGATTCAAGTTTAAAGATGGCTGGCACTGCTGTTTATCTGTGTGATGTACTTTTGTCTGTTTTATAAACTAGACTTTTAGGTTTAGTTTTATAAATTAGAAAATACGGGGCAATACATTTACGATAGGTCTGTCCAAATGAGCCACACATTCATTCATTAACAGGAGAGCCACATGTACTAAAATTTAAGAAGTCTACTAATTTGTCATTTAACATCAGTGAATCCGTAAAATACAGCCAAAACAAAGTGATTAACGCAAACCCTCCTGTGTTAAGTGATGTAGTCTTTTACACTGGGTGCATGTGTCAAGCAGTGCGAAGCACAAAGTTTAGTTTCACTCTGATTTTGCTGACTGCCCCTATATAAGCATGTATCAAAAGTAGTGGGTTTAGTGGATTCATGAAGAATACAGACTGGTTGGTGGGGCATTGCCCCACTAAATGAGCCCCTGAAACTGGGCCTGCCCCTAGGTAGGGATTAAATTCAGTCCTGAGGTATTTTTTTCTTTTCCAGGTGCTCCTCTGTGATTTTATTGCTTTTGCCATGTCAGTGTTTTTCTCTCTCTTCTCCTGAGAAAATTACAGGCCAAATTGACTGTTTTTCACCAAACTCAATGACGCTCTAACTTTTTAGTTTCATCCAGATACACACCCAGTGCTTTCCCAAGCAGATGTTGCCTTGTGTTGGAAAACAAAGAGAAAAAAAGAGATCATTCCCCAGATATTAAAGACTTTCCAAACCCCTAAACGAAAATTGGGTGCTTTTGAACAATCACTCAACCATTTACTTGGTCTGGGTGGCAAAACTTTGACTCCATACACTACCTGGGAGAGCTTTATCAGGAAGAGAGAGATAAAAAAAATCACTTAATTTAAGGTGGCAGTGAATTTAAGGTGGGAGTAAATTTAAGGCAGCGGTAAATGAGAAAAGTAAGATCCCACAGGCTCATTAAAGGGGTGATTATAATGGCAGCTGCAGGTACAGGCCTAAAGTGTTCCTTTTTATATTCACATATGCACCAAATCAACTTTTTTAGAATGTTTTTCAAGGTTAAGTTCTCTAGAAACAATGACGAGTTGTATCACTGTGAGACTCTGGTCTGATATAAAATTCTGATAAAATGAAATACAGCCCACTAGAAACTTGCTCGTCCTGCGGTCATTTTATTGCCGTCCAGTTGCGAGAGTTTTATCGCTGAGGAGACGTGTCCAGAAGTCCCCCGATGAGCTAATCCAATCCAAATAGGGCTGAAGTAACAGTCTTGAGTGTAACTATCTTGAAGTTAATTAGAAAGCAGGAAACTGCAGTCATGTCGTGTGCAAACTCTGCTCTGTCTCTGACTCATACACATGCAGACCAATTTGGTGAAGCCCTCCTCGCTAACTTTAAGTGACAATGCTCCCTCCCTGCCCCCCCCAACACGGTGTGGGAGAGCGCAATCTGTGCGAATTAGTGAAGAAACAAATTACCTGCACTGGGAGTGTGATCCCCATGCAGTTTCACCCAGGTTTGTCTTTTGAAGAGCAGCAGTGTGTCCCCCGAGGGCTCCCTGGCAAACACCCCTCATCTCACACGCACACATCACATTTTTTAAAAACTATGCATGGCTTCTGCCGGAGCCCTCTTATCAGCAGCAGCACAAATGCCATGCAAATGGAGCCGTGCTCGGCGCAGGCCGCCACTCAGAGGCAGGCTTAATTGGTAATTGGGATCTAGGTGTGAAAGCCACACTCGCAACCAGGAGCGAAAACACGGATGGGTTTGAAAACCTCCAACTTCTTCTGTTTTTTTCTCTTTTTTTAGTAATTATTATGACAGCGGCTGCGGTATAATTTTTTCATTTCCAGGGGACGTTCAGGGGGGCTTTTTATCATCTGCTATGTGTAAAGTAGGCCTGGGTTTTCTCAAGCTTACGTGTGCTGATGATCAGTGAGCTGGGGAAGTTGTCCCGGCAGTGTAAAGTGTTAGGGATGCACCAGAATTCAGGGTGGGCTTTATGGCAAATTCACGATTTTTTAAAACATTTTCATGATCCACAATATGTATCATGATATGTAGTTTTTCTAAGGTTTGGTAAGTAGAAACAGACAAAAAAGAGCCCATATTTCAAACCCATCCTGATGCTGCTGCTGCTGTATAAACTGAAACTATTTAATTAACCATTGCCATTGCTCCACCCGTTTTGTTTTCTACTATTTTATACTAATGCTGTTTGCTATCCAGTGTTGACCAGAGGAGGATGGGTTCCCCTTTTGAGTCTTGGTTCCCCTCAAGGTTTCTTCCTCTTGCTCCTCTTTCCTTGCCGCTGTCGCCACTGGCGATGCTCATGGGGGCTTGGACCCAGATTTTTCTGTAAAGCTGCCATGTGACAACACCCGTTGACTTGACTTGACTTGACTTATTGCCACGTTTGAAAAATACAAAAATCAAAAAACTATAAGTACAATGATTTTTATTGTTTTACACACTGCACCGTAAAACAGGACTAATTATGCTCTATTTGTAATGAAGCCTGCAGTTGGCCAACACTGACAATACCCAGAATATGCTCAGAAAAGCTCATTATGATGTAATTTATCACAGTACCGATAAATATCTACATATTGCCCACCCCTAACGAAAATTAACACATTTCTTTGGCCGCAAATGATACCAGTAACCGATCATTTTTAGAGACGGACTAAAATTTCAGCTAATGAAAGCTCCACTTTTATCCGAAAGAGAAAAAAGAACAAAATATTAAATAGATTTACAGCAAAGTGTCAAAATCTAACACTTAACAAATAATCTGACAATGAAAATGAGAAATAGTGATTAAATAGACTGTTTGTTCCCCTTCGCTCTCTTTTTTACCTCTGTTTTTGAAAGTTGGCACTGCAAACACATGGTTTGTGGCTGTTTCTTCTCTAAATGATAAGCATTAAATCCACTTGCGTGCTACTAGCGCTGCCTGCTGGAGAAACACCAAACTGCTAGATGGTAGTTCCAAAGCCATGTTCATATGCTTTACATTTTAAAATACTATAATCCTATAATAATATAATATATAATGTACAGGGAATATAGGAGAAGTTAAAGCTTAAAAGATATAAGTTGCTAATGGTGTAATTCTTTATGCCAAATAGATCACTAGATTTATCATTCTGAGATGATTCATTAATTAGTGGTATTATCGTGCACTCCCAGAAACTACTGGTCAGTTATACTTTTTCAGCATCTGCACCAATTCAGTAGTAGATCAAAAGAACTACTGTGTATTTTCTATGGGTCTCCTTTCTTCTCCTTTCACATTTAGTAAGATAGTACACAGTGCTTTTTAACCAGAAAGTTACCATGCAATTAAGAAAAGGAGGAGTAAAGGAGGAGTTTGGCAAAAATTAAATTTATGCAATTTTCTCTTTACACCGAAAGTAATTTTTAACAGAGACATCTTTAGATTTCCACTCGGGCTATGAGGCTAATGCAGCCAACAAGTAATGGAAGCTTATGAGATACCAATGACCATCAAACTAAATCCTAATTCTTAATGCATTTGATTGACAAGTAGTCAACATAGTAGACAGTGATTTAAAGGGGAATTCCACTGATCTTTCAAAATTAACTGGTTAACATGTAAAGTCATTCAGAGTGGTTTGATGTGAGAGACACTTATAGAGTCAGAGTCGTTCACAGAGGTGGTGATAGGAACCATCTGAGGAGTTTAATGCCTTTTAAAGCTCCCTCACAGAAACCTATTACATGAAATGGTAAACAATGCATTGCATGATGCCTGGTACGTAGTTTTAGGATAGTTTTTGTCATAAAATGTATATTTTTAAAAATACTTTGAAGGCAGAGAGGTACACGTGGGGTGTTGTTAGACAAAATAGTCCCCAACGACAGTGTGTTTTTTCAGATTAAACACTATTTCACCCCCCATCAACATTACATATAAAACTCAAAGATGCACGTAGGTTTACTGGTGGTCTTGGATAGTAAATAAAATGGCTATATTTGTGCTGTCGACATCACAACCTCTGGTTCCTATCAGCACCACTGACAAGAAATCTGAGTCTGAGAGTTTCTATTCATTGAGAAACTCACATTTAATTATACAGAAATATTGAACAATAGAATGGACTTCCTCCTTTTCATTCCAAATACATATCATCATAATACATAGAGATTGTGGCAGTTCTTTGTGTGGAGTGTTGTACGGCTGGAGGTGCTTGAAAACGGCCAAAACTAGCTTTTCCTTCACATTGACCAAAAGAGAGAAGGCATTCTCAGTATTGACTGGTCAGCTGTGATGTTTTTTTTGTTTACTCTGCATGAAAGTTAAGTTCAATTTAAACAAAAGAACAAATGTACAGACAAAATTCAAGATTGCTCCTTCTACTGTTACGTAAACTCTTACATAAACAAGACTTCTAACAGTGATTTTAGTACCAGATGTGAGTTTAATATGAAATCAAAGTGATATTCCCATCACCGAATATTTAAGAAGACATTTCGCTGGTTTCACTGAAAGCAGAACACATGGTTTTGGATTGTGGTCTTCTCTCAATGTTCTTCTGTCTCCAAAACTTGGTTCACTGTTCTTGATCGATATAAAATACAAATGGAACCAAAGCGCTTTTGGTCAGTGCTGTAGTACCATTTGTACCTTCTCTAATGGGTGCCATCTTTGTGTTTTCCATTAGGATAACCGCTCAAGTATGTCCAGGCCGATGATCACCAGGTCCCCAGCATCTCCTCTCAGTAATCAGGGCATCCCCACCCCGGCCCAGCTCACCAAGTCCAACGCTCCAGTGCACATCGATGTGGGCGGACACATGTACACCAGCAGCCTAGCCACGCTAACCAAGTACCCAGAGTCCAGGTGAGGATCCTACTGCTCTTTGTGTAAACAGCTGGACAAAATGACCTGCTGTATGGATCATTGCATCATTATATTTTCTTAGATGCCAAATGTGTCTTGGCTAATCGACTACATTTAGGGTAGCAGGAAAACTATGTAAATTTGAATTTTTGCTGGACTTTTCCTTTAAATGAAACAATTTTGAGTGCAGCTAGCCAAACTACTACTTTCATTATACAAATGTTATCATATACATTATGATGACTTTGAGAAATGTCTCAATGAAAACTGAACACACGATATTAAACTGTAAAAACTATACTTAATATTAAAGAGCCCATATTATGGAAAAGCAAAGTTCCCCAGCTTTTCAAAATAAGAGTTTGATGGTAGTATGTTAACAGTGTTAAAGTTCGCTCCTCAGTCCTTACAGTCTATGCACTTGTATGAAAAAGTTTGAACACCACTAGTCAACTTACACGTTTTGTTGATTTTTTAAGTAAAAAGTTCACACATCCTCTGCAGGAAACTTCAATATGACATTTTTTTGCAAATTTGAATGCAAAATTTCTATTTATTTGCTGAATTTAACATAAAAACACAAAATATGAAATATTCCATAACTTTTACACCAGTATTTTCTTTCCTCAACATGTTATATTCAGCAAATTACCAATAATTGTGCATTAAAGTGTACAGAAGTGTGTTCTCTGTAGAGAATAGACGATTTCTTTTGCATTGGACAGTTTCATCCAAATCATCTTGCAGCTGTAAAATCTGTAGAGGGAATGGAAGTTAAGACCTGGCTAGCGCTGTCATAGAATTGAGGTTGGGTACTGATGTTGGATGATCAGTTCTGGATCACAGATGCCACTCTAGCTCATCTGAAAGGTACTGGATGAAGCTCCATCACTCCAGAGAACGCCGTTACACAGTTCCACAGCTCAATGCTGATTAAACCCCCTTAGCTGACACTTGTCATCAGGCATGGTGCTCCAGAGAGTCAGCAATAGGTTCACCTTAGTAGCTGAAATCACAAATTGGAGGGGCTGTCTGAGTAGTTTTGTACATAAAGTGTTCAAAGAATTAATATGTCATTTCATCACCGTATTGGTGGAAAGGCTTCAGCTCATGCCAAGAAACTAGTGACACTATCAGTGGGAGGTTAATGGAATATTGACTAACCCTTGGATAGATGGGTCGCATTGGACTGCATTTACAGCCCTGATGATTCACTAATTCGCAAATTATACGCTCAGTCATGTTTCTCCTTAGAGGAGTGTTTTTCTGCCTCGGCCCATGCTGAGTCTGTGTTTGAAAAAGTGGCCAAAAACATTTTTATGAGGAATTAAAATATGGTGCCCCACCTACAGTTGTATGCAAAAGTTTGAGCACCATTTGTACTATTTGCATTTTGTTGATTTCCTAAGTGAAAATAAGTAAACACATCATTTACTGGGGGGAAAAAAAAATAAATATTTTTCTGCTAATTTTAGTGCACAGTTTCTATTGTTTTGCTAAGTTTAACATATTAGAGTAAAAACATATAATATGAAACACGCTAAAACGTTTTTTAGAAAATAAAACGAAACATAATTTGACCAGGGATGTACAAACATTTGCACATGACTGTATATGTGTGTGTTTAAAACTAGGAGTGTAACAATACAGCATATTGTAATGTGTCGTTCAGTGTGAGCTTCTTATTCAATACACACAACACATTCAGCAGACTGGAGCAAATATAGTACTCAGTTTAGTACTGATTATATTGCATGAAGCATAAAAATGAAACAAGCAAGCCAACAGTGAGGGCACACCATCCCTCCTCTGAAAACATATTATGACCATATTATTAATTGGTTTGTGAAATCTTACATCCCCAGTTGTGGGATTATAAGGACTGGGCCTGAATGCCAGCTTGTGTCAGATGTGCTCAGATAATAGTTCATGCATGATATACAACGTTGGGACAGTAGGTAAATGCAAATAAGAACAGAAAGCAGTGATTTATAAATGGTCTTTTACAGGTATTTAATTGAAAATAGCATAAAGAAGAGATATTTAATACTATATTTTTGTAAATATATGCTAATTCCACCTTTAATACATGCAACACATTCCAAACAAGTTGGTACAGGGGTAATGTAAGACTAGGAGGTTTGTGAAATGATCAAGAACACCTGTTTTGGAACTTTCCAAAGGTAAACAGGTGAATAGGCAACAGACAATACTATCATGAGTGCGTTTGAAAGGAGCATTCACGAAAGGCTTGGTCATTTAAGAGCAAGGATGGGATAAGAAAAACTCCATGTGTGAATAGAACAACAGTTTAAGAACAATGTTTCTCAATGCACAACTGCAAGGAAATCAGGAGTTTAGGGATTTCACCATCTACAGTCTGTAACATTATTACAAGATTCAGAGAATCCAGAGAAATCTCTGTGCGTAAAGGTTAAGGCCAAAAACCAATACTGAATGCCCCTGACCTTCATATCTCCAGATGGCACTGCATTAAAAACTGACATACTTCTGTAATGAAAATAACCACATGGGCTCGAGAATACTTAGGAAAACCGTTGTCAGTAAACACACTTTGTCGCTGTGTTTAAAGTTTGTCTTGTCTTTATTAATAATAATAGATATCTTGCATTTGTACTTTTTGTAATTGAATACAAGTCAAAATAAGTTGCAAATTACTGATTTCTGGTTTTATTTAAATTTTTCTTACTGTCCCAGCTTTTGGAGTTGGGTTTATACTGTTATCTATAAAAATAGACAACTGTATGAGCAAAAGTCTGTGAAATCTGACTGGATGCAAAGATAAAAATTCAAAAATCTGCAGTGGTTGGATGAAAAATTCACACAGTTTTCCTCTGAAGCCAAATATAGTCAATATAAGTAGCAGCCAAGATTACAGGTACATTACAAAAACAGAGTGATTACTAGCAGGATTACATCACCACTCACACACCAAACGCAGCCATCGATAAGACACAGAACGACACTTTTTTCAGTACCAGCATGTAAACACAGCATTACCTTGGCTACAAGGTTAATGTAGCTAATAATTAATAGACGCTTAGCCTTCCTCGCTCGCTTGCTGTGTCGAGTTGTTATGTAATCTCAAACAGACTTGCTTATGTGGTTTCTGACACTGTATGATTGTTCATATTTTTTCATTCTTATAGAAAATGTCATACATGTATGTCTCTGCATGTCATCTAGAGACAATATAAGCAAGTCTATTTAAAAAGGTAGGTTGAGGCAGATGGTGGTGATTTAGACATGGAGTTTTCACAAAGCTAATTGGTAGAATAAGCTTTCATTACCTGTTAGCTACATTTGCCTCATACCTCCAGTGTAAAATTAAAGGAGCAAACTTCAGACACCAAACATGTCTTGGCTGTTTCATTATATTCAGGATAAGGGGGAGATTTTCACCCGAATATCACTTAAACCAGACAGATTAATAAGAAAAAAGTCAGTATTGAGGAAATGGTGACTGATGTGGGTGGGTGAAGACCTTTTTAAGGACGTGTGGTGAATCATATGTGAAATGGATCTGATGTGTCTGCCTGTCGCTCTCATTAACTCTCTGGCTGCGTAATGTCACCCGCCATGTCGCTGGAGCGCCGTGTCAAAGCGCATTTATCAGTGGCCGCCATTGTTCACGCGCACAGATGCTGCTATGACTTCTTGCACTCAGGGTGAAGTGGGGCAGCCGAATGTGGAGCGTTTCACTTCAGCCATGCAGGGTTTTAAACCACCATGACTCGCATCAACAGTTCTTCATTAGCTGCTGATGGCTTTTCCACCGCCGCACTCAGCTTGTGTGGTAAAGGCCGTTGGTCGCAACCCAAATGCTAAAAGCCCAGCACGGCTGAAAGCCCAGAAGAACATATGCACTGTGTTCTGCACTAAGTGACTGACTTTGCCCAAGCACGCCATTAGTGCTATTAGGGCAATGTGGTACTCATTTGTAAATCATTCCCACTCCTTCTTAAAAACAGACCAAACTGAGGTTTTGGAAGCTCTGCTATTTTTACTGGAAATATTTCAGCCTTTTGAAACCATTTATGAGCAGCGCTTTAAGGCAATAGCTCAGTGAAAATTGAACTGAAAATTTAATTGTTTTTGCCAAATGTAGTTGATCAGCCAAGACGTCTGGTTTCTGAAGTTTGCTTCTTTATTTGCACTGGAGCTGTAGGGCTAATGTAGCTAACATATAATGGAAGCTTCTAAACGCCAGGTTAGCATTGAGCTAACTGCCTCCTAAATCATCACACATTTGTCCCAAACTGTGTTAAATTGTTTAGTAATCTCAAATAGATTTGCTCATGTGGTTTCTGACACTGTTTCTGTATGATATTCTGTTATTTATGGTAAAAGACCAAAGTATGTCACATAGCTAAAACCAGGAGAGGCCATCTTGAAGCCTGAATTCTGTCTGTACTGGCACCTCCATATGAATAGGGATCAATTTATGTCCAATTACCTTTTGAAAAGCAATAAAGTGACAGTTGTGTTTTTATTTCTGTGAAAAATTAATGAATCTGTAGCTTAACTTAAAATAAAACACTTTTCAAGTTTCAAGGCCAAAAATGAACTGTATTTACAAAAAAGTTCCTACTTTTGTCTGTGTTTATAGATAACAGTATGATAAACACGCTCAGAAACCACATTCACAGGTCTATTTGAAATGACTTAAAGAGACACTCAAAATGAAAAGTTTAACCTCTTTATGTCTGTGGTAAACATGCCTGCTTGTATCCTACAGTGGTGTCCCTGTAGTCTCTAGAGGGAGATTTCCAGAATCTGTTCCCTGCTAAAAAACCAGTACAGACCAGCACTGCATTCTGTTCTAAGCTGGTTTGTCCTGGTCTAGTGCTGGTCTGGTGCTGGTTAAGCATAACAGCATCCAAAACAAAGTATATGCTGGTTTTGCTGGTGACCAGCGAATTAACTTCCATTGCTGCTGACCAGCAGACGAGCATCTAAAACCCAACATGTGCTGGTTTTGATTTTTCAAGCAGGGTTGATTTATGTTGTAAGTAATAAGACTTTTTGGAAAAACTACAGCTGCTTCGGGGTTAGAAAAAGGCTATAGTTAGCAAGGTAGCTACTTGGCTACCTAGAGACCTTACCTCAGTTTGACAGCTGATTAAGAATCACACTAATGGTAATTTGGTTGTATTTATTAGACTGTCATGATTGGTCGACACCACAGGGATTCCCAATGGTTGTATGATGTATTCATGTAATGCATGCTGGGTATTGTAGTGAAAGAACCTGGGTTTTCAAACATGAAAACAATATAAAATCATGGATTCTGTTAAATGAATGAATAAAATGAATGAAGATGAGAGATTCAATACTGCCTTACAGAATGGTGCACAGCATGACAAATAACACAACAAATAAAGTTTTAGGCTGGAATAACTTAACAACCGAACACAATTTGATGCAGGTATGTGATGATTTAGTCCTGCAGGTTGCACAATGCTAATTGGCATGCATGCTGTAAGCATCCATAACTTGTTAGCTACATTACACGTGTAGCTCCATTGCAAAACTAAAGACACCAAACATGTCTTGGCTGATTGACTACATTTGGGGAAAAAACGAAATCTGTGTAATTCAGTATTTCTGCTGGACTGTTTATTTAACCGAAATGATTTTGGGTGCAGTCGTACCAGCAGCCGCTCAGAGCCGCAGGGCCCTGGACCCATCTGGAGGCTCAGAGCCAGGACAGCGGGGCGTGGCCTGGGGCAGAGCAGGGAACACTGTCCTCCAGATGGCCCTTTAACTGCCATCAGACCAAGGGTCACACATTTTTAACCACTTCACAGTTTCCTGTTCTTTTTGTCCATGAGCCGCTCTTCAGTGTAAACATGCCCAGTGTGGAAGTGAGTTAGGATTAGTCTACAGAAATAAATTGTAAAGATAAATGAATTAGAGTCTATAACAGCAGTCAGTCTGATATCACAGAGCAACAACTGACAAATGTATGTGTCTCTTCTTCTCTCTGTCTCTGCACTTAGTGGAGAATTACACTGATTTTTCATCAGTTCTACAATATTTAGTCACTGAAATGCAAACAAAGTCATTCAGAGTGCTTTGATGTGAAGTGGTTCACTGTAGATTAGCTTAACAACTCAGATTTCTCTACAGTGGTTGTGATGGGAACCAGAGGTCGAGCCATTTTAGCCTTTTATATATAGGCATTTTATTTACTATTCAAAACCTCCAGTGGACCTACACATTTTTATACAGTGTATGATGTTGATGGTAAAATAGTGGTAAATCTGAAAAAAATATTTCTTTTCTTAGTTTTCTTAGGGTAATATTTTGCCTTAAACACGCATGCACCTCCCTTAAATGGATTTTAAAAAGCTGCCAGACGTCTGGTTCCTATCACCACCACTGTGACTCGATAAGTTTCTCTTGAATGGAGAATTTTGCATCAAACCACTCTGAATGACTGTTTACATCATGTAGACATTTTCAAGAATGTGTGATATCCTCATTAACTCTTAGACGTCTAGAGTTATTAGCTTTATTGTGCTAAACTATTTAAGTGTAATTACGTATATTTACATTCTGTGTTGACAGTATTCTGTGGCAAAAATGTAAAGGATGATTTTTCGTTCCACAAGACAAGAGTGAACACAACCATAACTTTTCATCAAATATAAATCATAATACAATAACATCTCACACAAGTGTGGTATGGATGTAAATTTATGAGTCATACTTTCTCCATGTGTTTCAGTGATGCTGTTAACTGCGGCTTCTAAGGGTTGAAAAACATGGTTTTAATTAGAAAATGGAATTTTAATTTCTGCTGTGGTCATTGTTACGGTAGTGTGACTATATATCTTAATCTCTCTCTCTCCCCCTCTCTCTCTTTCTCTCTCTCTCCCTCTCTCTCCCTCTCTCTCTCTCTCTCCTCTCACACTCATGCTCTCTCTCTCTGAACAGAATTGGCCGTCTGTTTGATGGCACGGAGCCCATTGTTTTGGACAGCCTGAAGCAACACTACTTCATCGACAGGGACGGTCACATGTTCCGCTACATCCTCAACTTCCTCAGGACGTCCAAGCTCCTCATCCCTGACGACTTCAAAGTGAGTGAGAGAATGATGCCTGACTGTGGTGTAACGTTTAGAAAAAGCTTTTCAGTGCATGAGATCTGCATGTACCACATATATACATATATATTTATATATATATATATATATATATATGTATATATCTGACTGTAACAGGCTAGATTTACCTTTGTTGTCACATTTCTTGGCTCAGATCAATCTAACCAGTGACCACACTAGTGATCTACAAGTTTTTATTAAATTATGTTTTTTGAAAATGAACAAACATTCAGCTAATAGTTTGAAAAAAATAATACAAAATAAATGATATAAATGTAATTGAGTTTAATTTGCCATGAAAAGGTAATTCGGTGTGTTTGAGAGCCTCAAGGCTGAAGCTTTAGCATTAGCTACAAATCAGTTAAGTTAGGTGAAATATAGTGTCCTTAAAGGGGAATTCCACCAATTTTTAAAAATCTACATAATTGAATGACTAAAATGTAAACAAAGTCATTCAGAGTGGTTTGTCTGAAATGCTCCAACCTAGATAAACCTAAGAGTCAGATATGTTCATAGTGGTGGTGATAGGAACCAAATGCCTGAAGCATTTAATGTCTCTAAGGCTACCTTACAGAATGCTGATACACAAAATAGTTATGAATACGCTGCCTGATGCCCAAGACACTGTTTTACGATAGCTTTGTGATAAGGTTTTGACTTAAAACATAGTTTATTAATCTATTCCTTAAGAGATTTACATTCAAGGCAAAAAACAGTCCTTAAATAAAAATATATTTTTCAGATTTACCACTATATAACCATCACCAACATCACGTATAAAATCTCAGAAGGTTCATTGGTCATTTTTGATAGTAAATAAAATGGCTGTTGTGTTGTAGACATCACGACCCCTGGTTCCGATCAGCACCACTGTAAAAACAGTCTGTAAGTTTCTCTACAATGAACCTTTTCGCATCAAACCACTCTGAATAAGCTTGTTTTCTTTGCACAATTGAATTATGCTGAGATTTTTAAAAAAGTGGTAGGATTATTGCTAAGTGCTTACATTAGTAATGTAGGCTCATAAAAATGTCATGATCAGTGATTAAAAACAACTGGCAAATACTCATGTCCAACAGCTACAGACTTTAAAGATGTAGTGTTAGATGAAACTAATAGATTATAAGCTATTAAAGGCAACATGCATTAATCAGAAAAAGCCTAAGGAAGAAGTTGAGGATGTAAAATATTGTTGAAAAATCTTAGTATTATTATACTAGTCATACTATTAATATTAGACTATTATTAAACCGCTGTTCTACAGTCTAGGTTACAGTGATAGTTGCAGTTTCAGTGTTAGGAGATCACTCTTTACTCAAAATCTTGATGGCAGCTTATATCAAAATCTCCCATTTAAAGCCTTCCAATGGACACAGTGCACAAATGGCAACAGATGAGCTTCAGAAGTTTTGCAACCCTGGAACTGCTTACTAAATCAACTGCTCTCAGTAATGAACACCACTACATAAGCATTCATAACTCTAAAAGTGTGGTTGACCCAGGCTTGATGTGTTGCCATAAATATCCAAAACAAGGCATACTGCAGATCTTTGTATTAACCATGATGCAATCTGGCAATAGCGTTTAGAAAAACCCCGCACAGCCCTCATTCTGGCCAAGAGACACATTTGCATTCCAGTGGCTAGCTCTTGTGTGTCATTTAGCCCTTAATTACAAATTTGCCTTGGGAGAAAACAAATAATCCCATTATCTGATGGTCTGTCCGTGAGGAAAGTATGTCAGCTAAAATAAGCAGAGACTCAAGAGTAGCCCTGGTTCACTGAAAGGCTACACTCACAATCTTGGAGAGTTTATGGGAGCAGTACGGTTTAGTTTTTCCAGTCTTTTTAAATCAGCTCGCATTTTTTCCCTGTTAGGCTTCCTTTTGTTTTGCACTGCTGAACGCTGTCGTGAAACACTGATTTGTTCTTTATGCACTTTGAAAAGAACTACTTTAGCATCTGGGGTTCTTACAGCGCTGGTGGCTGTTTATGTATCATAAATAGTCGTAATTAATTTTTACCTGTTTTCCAACCTCTCTTTACCTCTCAGAATGAAGTGGGCTGTGTTTGTTACTGTGCCTTTAAGACTGATATGCAGTACCACGCAAAATAAGAGACCACCCTTCATTTATTTCATTTTCAGTACAAGTTATTCATTTGTCAGAAGATATTTTTGATGAGACCTGATAAAAAAATGAAAGGTCAAAAAGAAAAAACAGGAGTTCAGAAAGGTTAAAAAGAGAAAATTACTCCTAACAACCATGCAGCGCCTGGTAGACCACCAAAATTAACCCTATCAAAGTCAAGTCAAAGTTTATTTATATAGCACTTTTTACAACAGGTGTTGTCACAAAGCAGCTTTTCAGAAAAATCCGGGTCCAAGCCCCACTGAGCGTCGTCAGTGGTGACAGTGGCAAGGAAAAACTCCCTAAGAGAAAGAGGAAGAAACCGTGAGAGGAACTAAGACTCAAAAGAGGAACATCCACAGGTGTTTCTGTCCATCCTTCCACTGTGAGAACACAACTCAGTGCTATGGGTCTGAAAGGATGTGTAGCTGACAAGAAGAACCTCACTGGAGAAAGGAAGACAGAAAAGTAGAACATTTACAAATCAGACAAAGAAGCTTTTTTCCCTTCTCTTGTAAAATGACTTTTTTGGAAATACAAGGTTTTGCTCTGACAGTGACAGTGAGTGCGTTTACATGCACTTAAAAATCCCACAACTGCAGAAAATCATCCATCCATCCATCATCTAAACCGCTTAGCCAGTCCATCGCAGGGCTGCAGAAAATCAGACTGTCAGTAATCCAATCAACACGTTTACATGCACTTGAGTAATCAGATAATGGGAAAACTCCAGGTCTACATGAGTCAGACAGTAATCAGATTTAAAATAGTAAACGTAACGTGAACTCAAACTTCATCCTTCAATATTTAAACCTTCTTAATCAGATTTCTAGGCCTTACTCTGATCTAAGAAATCAGAGTACGCTGTTTACATGATCATTTGAATAATTAGATAACTGCAGATATCTGATTATGATTGGATCATTAAGGGCATGTAAAAAAGGAAAGCAGCAGGCACAGGTTGCAGTTAGGAAACAGGTCAGACCCTTGTCTCCTGACCCTATTCGTATGACCCTCACGCTTGTGCAGTTTGTCCACTCATCTCAGATATTATGAGTGTGTCCCTAAGTGTCTCAGCGTATGTGTTTGTGTGCAGGACTACAGTCTGCTGTATGAAGAAGCGAGGTATTTTCAGCTGCAGCCACTGCTGGCCGAGCTGGAACGCTGGCGGCACGAGCGCGAGCTTAACCGGCTCTCGCGACCGTGCGAGTGCGTGGTGGTTCGCGTGGCTCCGGACCTGGGCGAGCGGATCACACTGAGTGGAGACAAGGCCCTGATCGAAGATGTCTTCCCCGAGATCGGAGACGTCATGTGTAACTCAGTGAACGCCGGCTGGAACCACGACTCCACACACGTCATCCGCTTCCCCCTCAACGGCTACTGCCACCTCAACTCCGTACAGGTAAGAGAGAGACTGCCCTCAGTCCTTTGAGCCGTGTTTTTATAGACTGCCATTTGTAACTTTTTCTCTTGAGATGGACCAAGTCAGCACAGGTCAATGATGATTTTAACCCCTTAATTAAGCTTCCATTCATTTAAAAGGTTGAAATTGTTTGACATTCACAATTTTTGTTATTTTATATATCAGGATCCTTCACTTTCATGACTTCAGAATAAGTCAACCAATCGCAACCATTTGCATTGTTGTGCAAGCAGGTCCAGACCTCTACTGCGTGCTTCTATAACTTAAGAGTAACTCACTCGGTTTGAATTGTTTTCCATGTGATTATTATATTATAAGGCTTACAATATACTAAGCCTGAGAATTTTAAGAGGTTAGCATACTGTACACAGTATATAATTATATATAATCACATTGGGAATATAGCATTAAGAATCATGTCTAATATTAGAGCAGTGCCCTGGACTCTGGTCTCCTGCATATAAAGTGAATTAACCACTCTGGTATAGAGCCAGTTACACACTAAATATGTGCACAGCGTAAAAACTGTTCTGTCCTTAACTACTACCTAAAAAAGATACTTCAAACGTGATGACCATTCTCAATCCCAGTGTGACTATTGTCATAACAAACCTCCATCACATTAACAATATTTTTAAGGAATTAATATTTAGTTAAGTTTTTAGTTAGCTTTTAATTATTTAGGCCTATGTTCAAAAAGCTGTTCACAGAATTGTGCCTGTTTTGCTAATATTAGAATATTTAATTATTTCTGTTTTGTCCAATAGTAAATGGTGCTTTTGTAATTTTTTTTTTTGCTTAGATTTCAGTTTACACAGCAACAAAAGGAATCTGCACATCCACTCATACACATTTTACGCATAATTTAGAGCTTCTTTTATTGTCGTTACAGTATCTAACAATTTATTTAAAGCGTTAAATTTTATGTCCATATCATACAGTCCTACTCTCATTTACAAAAACTGGCAAAAGTATGGATAAAATATAGCCTTCACAATGGCTGCCACTGCTGTTTTTAGCCACAGTCATACTCAAAAGTTTGGGTGCAGAAAAATGCCGTATTTAACTTTGTTCCCTGTAGAACTTCTTTTCACTTACAAAATCAACAAAACATGTACACATTTGACTGGAGGTGTTCATATGGCAGTGTGTGACATACATATGCCTGTGTTTATGAATAACAGCTACATTTGGATTAAGGGGTGTAAATTATGTGCATTACATGTTTTGCAAAATTATAGCTTTATTTCTCTCTTTAATGAAGTGTCTGGTTAATGTCATTCTTGCACTGCTTCCACCAGCATAAATTTGTTTTGGCATGGCACGACAGAACAAATGCAGAGTGATCATATACATTCTTAATTCACCTTTTCTTTTGCAGCATGTTTTTGTAACGTGGACTGTTTCCCTTTTCTTTCCACCAAATGTTTAAGCCGTTTTCTAAAAGGCTTGCCTTCATCTGTATCCAAGGGAGGGAGATTTCACATTAGCACATAAGGACACACGCACACGGACGCTGGCAGGTAGTCCTGAGGCACGGCCCCTAATCCTGTTTGGTTATTAAAGTGAGCCCGCAGTGGATGCTGTATCTGCGCCTAATGGTGTCAGGATGTGTGCGTGTGTCTGGAGGCAGAAGAGGGGAGGGGCTGTCAGCAGAGCGAGACCTTTGTAGTTTTGGTGGGGGGTTGAAGCCTGAAGCGTCTGGAGGTTGAGGGGTGGGGGGCTCAGCTCTGAGATTTTGTGCTTCCAAGTGGCACACACTCTACTCCCTGGGGGTCTTTGATGGAATGTGATGATTCTGCTCCCCCCCAACAGACATGCACGAATGTGTGTGGAGCATGTAGATGCACACTACTGTAATATGTGCCTTTTTTGGTAGTTGATTGTTGTAGTTGAAGGTTAACATCTTCTTTAGTTTTGTACTGGGGCTATGAGGTTCATGTAGCTAACACATAGGGTTGCACGATGATATCAGAATCAGTATCAGCAGACAGATGCAAAACAGTAGCTGCATTGAACAGATTTGTTTAGATTTGCCTGAAATTTTAAACTGTTCTTTGATGATATATTTATATTGCTTCAGAAAAACACAATGTTTAGGGGACGCTGGGTTACTGCGCTGAAATGTCAGTATTGTATTCATTTCTCTGCTTTTTATAAAAGCAGAGAAATGAATACAATACTATAATTAAGTGTTTTATTTCTCTGTCATGCAAATCCAGGTTGGTGTACAGTTATATGCAAAAATTAGAACACCCCCAGAAAATAAGTTAGCACATCCTCTGCAGGGAACAAACTTAAAAATGGCATTTTACTGCTAATTTTAGGGCACATTTTACTATTTATTTGCTGAGTTTAACGTATTTGAACAAATAAAACATAAAATGTGAAATGTGCTCTAACTTTTGCACAGGCCACTTTTTATGTTTTACTTTTTTTCCAATATGTAAACTCAGCACATAAACAGTAATTACGCATTAACATGAGCAGAAGTGTGTCTCTGTAGAGGATGTGTAACTTATTTTCACTTAGAAAATCCCCTAAACATGCCATTTGACCAGGGGTGCCCAAACTTTTGGCTCTAATTTCTACATTTGGTCAATGTTTATTTATCAGTAGCGACACTGAGATACCAGCACCTCACACACTGCCATGTCAGGGTCACTGGTGTGCTGAGAATGATCCACCACCCAAATAAAATCTGGACAACAGTGGTCCTGTGATCTGACCCGTGATGTACGGAATGGAGAGGGGCTGATAAACTGTACAGCAGTAGATGGTCTGCAGTTTCCCATATGGGAAACAGTACATGAGCATGTATTTTTATGTGTGATATATTACAAATACATTGTTTCCAAGACCATTTCTAAACATCTGCAGGACGAGAGCCATAATTAAGCACACACCCAGCCCAATCACAAAGACTAGAAAATAATGAATAGTTAATTTATTTTGATCAGGAAAAAAAGCATGTGTTCCAAACACTGAAGTACATCAAACAAAAACATTCATCAACCAAACGTGTTTGATATATACACTTTACTTGTATTTATTGCCCATGTGGGTCTGTAATTGTACACCTATATAGACACCTCTATACTGGATCTATTAGGTAAGTGGTGCTCACGTTGTGTTCAGTCAGTGAAAGTACACTGTATGGGTTTCCAATAAAGTGGCCAGTTTAGTGTTTGAAGTAAGTGGTTAAAGAGCCAGGGGTAGACATCAGGTTGACAGCAGTGATGTACAATATAACAGATAAAAACAGATAGTATAACTAAACAGTTACACCAGACAGTCAGTTGACAATTTGATATTATTGAAATTCTTATGAAACGCTTATTGAAATTTTGGTCAATAGCACATTTGGGTTTGTAAATGGAAGAGGTAATATTTTAGCCTAGAACCTGTTTGTTAAGTAACTAACTTTTAAATAGCTCATGATGATGAGTGCATGATCAGCAGTCAGCCAATTTATTATTTTTATGTTGGTTTTTATGCTGCGTTGCAGTTTTTAAGGTAAATAATTGTAGTATATTTATAATTATACATGAGTCATTGGGCTAAATAGCAGCACTTTATTTGATTTCATGTTACATAAATAAGAAGCTCATTTTTTTGAAGAACTTAAAGGGCCAATATCATAGAAAACTGAATGTTCTTGTCTTTTTTGAAATCAGTTTGATGTAGACACTGTTAAAGTGTCAAAACATGCCCGTTAATCCCCAGTCCATGCCGTCCATACATGGAAACTAAACTGCAAAAACAGCCAGTTTTAAATTCACATTATTTATATTTATATTACATTTACATATATCTATACAGCCTGCAAAATTTAAGCCCCACCCATTCACAAAGAAGTTATAAGGAGTGTTTCAGCCTGGACTTTTTTGAACAAGGCAGCAAATCTGAACTGAGGTCCAGGAATGCAGAAAGTGGGGGTGCTGAGGGTCCTGCAGAACCCCTGAGTTAAAAACAAAGACCGACGTTTGCTTGTTTTAGAGCAGAGTTTGTATATTTATATTTTCAGAATCTGCAGTAGCTGCATGTTTAAGTGAACTCAATATTTTCATTACAGTGAGCCAACAACAGCTGGCCGCTTTGCGGGCGCGTTGCTCAAGCACACGTAGGTTGAGATGAAAAGGGAGAAAGTCTGTGGAGAGTTATAGGCTAGTTGTAAATATTCTTTTTTTTTTAACTTAAAAAATAATCTGACGTAAAAATAATAATAATAATGTTATCAACTGTTATGTCTCCTGCTCTGTGTGTGTTCCAGTGTTAAATGTGTGGTTGTGGGCATGACACAATCGGTTACAGCGCCACCAATCAGCAATCTGATTGGATAACACTCAGCTCATTTGCATAAAGTTCATCCAGATGAGGGAGCAGTGGTTTGATGGGTCAGTTAGATGTATACTTTGTAGTCTCTCGCCTCATTATAGCACTGAATGACAGTTTCTGTTTGATGTAAATTAGAAACAAAAAAATCATTTTGCATGACATCATCAGTCACATCACACATGCGCTGCTTAAAACTTCTTAAAACACCTTCCTGCATCCCTGCTGAGGTCCTTTACATATATCAGCCTAAAGGTACAGTAACAAAGACAGTGTTTCATTCTAAGGCTGGCTTTCCAAGCCGAAACGTTTATAGTTGCATGTTGTGAGTTGCCTGCGACATAATTTCTGTACGACTTCTATCTGACAAAGCAATTCAAAAACAAACTTATATGAGACTTTTAGTTACTCCACTAGTTAACCAAATTAGCAGATCATATCTATCTAGAGTTCCTTGATATATATTATCTGTTTGTGTGTTAAGACTTTAAAAATTAATATTTAAATAGCCATAACAGTTATAGTCTACCTGATGTCTCTCTCATCTTGTTCTAAAAGCTAATAGTGGATTGTGTCTTAGTCTCCATTTCTGAAATATGTTTCAGAAATAAATAAATCTGAGGTCTGTGTAAAATCAGGGGGCAAAAAGAGGAGAAAATGAACAATCTAGCTACGTAAATTACAGGAACAATCATCTAACAAAAAAGAATAAATGGTGACGTAAACAACCGTTTAAACAGCTGTCAGCCTTAGCTGGCTAGTTAACACAGCTGGTTATAGAAACGTTAGCCTTGAGAAACGTTTGTTGTTATGACTCAGGAAACTGACAAAACTGAAAAACATAGAGGTGAGGTCTCCTTTTCAACTGCCCGATAAACCATCTTCTGTTTCAGATTCTTGTCCACTGACAAAAAATCAATGGTTTGAAAGTGTGTCCTTCAACAATATCACAGGGTGTTTTGTTTCATGAAACATGTTGCATAAAGTTGAGACAGTTGCAGCTGTTGCAGCTGAGTTGCAGCACGCTTTCCATCATGCAACTCAAGTGCAATTGAATTTGATGTAACTAAAGTTGCATAAAAGTTTCACTGTGTAAAGCCAGGCTAAGTGAAAAACAGGTAGAAAAATGGTCATGTAAAAATGAATTATGACGGTTTATACAGAAGTGGGCATGAAGGAAAGAAATAAAAGACAAAAAAGCTGGCAATGTGGGCTAAAATGCCAGTTTAGCCCATTAAAAGGGAAATGATGTTGCTTATATTGTGACTTTAGCTAATAGAAAGTATTGCAAATTTTGTTTAACCCATGCAGTGTGAGCCAATTTGGCTATAATGAAGTCAGAATCAGCATTTTCTCCAGCACTGTCAGAATTTTCTCCAGCACTGTGGAGTTCCTGGTGTCTGGATTCTTTGAGACTTCGAGCTTCTTAACATCTGACTGCAGCTGTGTTCCTCACTCTGTCCGTGTGTCTGCAGGTTCTGGAGCGGCTGCAGCAGCGCGGCTTTGAGATCGTGGGCTCGTGTGGAGGAGGTGTGGACTCGTCTCAGTTCAGCGAGTACGTCCTGCGGCGCGAGCTCCGGCGGGCCCAGCGCGGACTCCAGAGTAACAGGATAAAACAGGAGCAGCTGGACTAGAGACCTAACAGGGCCAAAAACTGCCCCACAGGCCTACAGAACAAAAAATAGCCCCAAAGGGCCCCAGAAGGCACCAGACATTTTAGCAGTTGCCAAGCTCTCCACAAAGGTCGGACACTTATCAGTCTTGATTTTTTTTTTAAAACAAGGGGAAACCGGAGGAAGCAAGCTTTTGAGGTTTGTTAATCCTGGAAGAAGATTCAGCGTGTTCCACAGCCCCTAGTGACCTCTGGGGCGACTGTGACTGTCCACTTGAGGACTTTGTTGAAAGCATTGTCCCTTATCCGCATTAAGTTTGTTTTAAAACTTTGAAATTTCAGCAGGTGAAACACGACAAACATTAAGACAACCTTAAAGAAAGTGTGTTCTGTTTGCAGTGCTATATACAGTATATATAAATATGTATATATTTTGCTATTTCATATAAAACTGACTCATGGATATTCTTCCTTACCCCTTAAAAAAAATGGTGCCGACATCATGGGTGGTATTTCCTGATATCTGATACTGATTGGTTGACTATAAGGTCATATTACAATAAGGTGACAAACTTTCCTTTTAAATCTGCACACTTTTTTTTCTCTCATAGCAGATGAATTGTTTTTTTTTTTACATATTAATAAGTGCGAGCGAAGATTGTGTACTTCAGTTACCACCAATTTTCTGAAATCTGTCATTACAGATTATGATATGTGAGATTTTAAAATGGAGATAAGACCTTTACTGTGCTTACTCAATATGAAGATTATGAGATTTACATCCAGTAACGTAAACCCCGATTTAAAATACATTGAACGTCACCCGTTTATTCTTAATTTATGATTTGATATGATGTTTATACATAAGCTGCAATATCTTTTCATTGTCCATGCACATGTACATGTTTTCTTTGGCATTGAACCTCCTTCTGACTGAATTTGTAACGGCCCGCTTTAAATGCAGGTTCTTCTCTATCTCTCAAACTGAGAAAGTTATGTTGGTCTCACAACAAGCCCAACTTCCCGAAATAATGAAGAATGTAGCAAAAAATGTGAAATAAATTGGTCCAAATTATATTCAGGAATTGGTCTTAAAGTTCTTGAATTAATTCTAGTGAAAAACAATCCCTTGAAAGTATTGCTTTGCATATGAAGGAAGCCAGAAATGTTGATGACTAATTATTACTTGGACACTTTCAGTGCAGTCAGTTTTACTGCTTTCCAGTATCCTAGGGTTTCAGTCACACGATTTTTCTGTTGTGGCTGCCATATTTGGGACCAAATTTCTGTCTTCGCTGCTCCATCCAAACGTAACTAGAGGTGAAAGATAGCTAAAATTACTCACCTTACTTTGGAACAGAAAAAATGTTACTGTGACTGTTGAGACTGCGATCCTTATACAGTTTCCCCTGAACTCCTGGTCCCACTTAAACTGGAGGAAAGCTACCAAATTAGTGTTTTCCTGAAAATTATATTTATCTCATACACAGCCCCTCCCCCTATTCTGTAGAATCTCTCAAAGCATTTAAAAACACAGAAGCCCACTGGCTCTTCACGTCTGGGCGGGTGAAGGATCCCATGGTGTTGCATAAAGAGGAGAAAAAACTCTATCATCATAGGAAAGAATGGCCACATCAGCTAATTAACACAGATGTGAACAATGCTAGCCTTTACTAGATAACTTTAGCTAATGTTAACAGCCGAGAGGTAAACAGTCATCCCCCTAACGGAGCTGCAAACAGCCAGATATAACTTTACTCTCCGTTTTTGGAGATTTAAATGATGTTTAAATGGAGAAACATAAACATTAAATATAAGACTGAATCTTGTGGGTCGGAAAACCATGTCATGTTTAGACAGATATGATTTTGTAAGTTTGCTAGTGCAGTTAGAGAGTTCCCAGCTCCAGTCCTGCAACCCCTGCACTGCATAATTTTGTTTCCCTGGTTAAAATACCTGATATTATTAGCTAATGAATCCCTTCTTGAGCTGAACGAGGTGTGAACAGCAGAGAAAAACACTAAACTATACAGTTCAGGGGCTTCAAGCCTGGAGTTTGAAAACACTGAATTAAAGGTCTGTCTGTCTCTGCTCTCTCGGCTTCTGTCGCGTCTCGCAGGTGAATCATTCACAAAGCAAATTGAAGGCATCGCACAGCGCAGTCACTCCCTGATTCAGTCCTCAAAATGTCGGCAACTATACAGTGTGACGTCATGCGAAACACGAATAAAACTAGAGTTTAGTTTATTATTTTTCATGTTTTATTATTCTGTAGCACAGCATTGCATTTCGTAAGCATTCACCATTTTGTATTGTTGTTTTGGTCCATCAGTGTTCTCTCACTAAACTTCCCGCAAATATATTATACAACTATTGGGAGTCATTAATGCTGTAGACCCGTCTGATCTATTATCCTAATATGCTGCTAGCTAGCATTAGCATTAGTGATACACCGGTCATGGAACAAGATCATTTTTTTCTTATCAGAAACATAATTTAGTTAAAGATTTCCCACAGAATGCAGGGGAATCATTTATGGAATGAAGCTAACAGTGTTGTTTTTCCACCATTACGCCAAAAAATATGCACTTAGGAAAGGATGTTAGTATGGCAGAGAAAATGTATGTACATTTATGAGCGTGCAGGCCGGCCTTCAAACTAGAGGACTACACAAGAGATTTGAAAGACAAATGACTGGGATATTCACCAAAGCAGATATAATGTGATTCACATAAAATGTGAATAAAAACCCAAAGCAGGGATTTAAAAATCTACTTTGAGCTGTATTTGAACAAAAACAGTTCAAAGACAAAATACTGAATATTTATGTCTCATACATTCATTCTGAAATGTATGCCTGCTTCCAGAAAAGTTGGAACAGGGCAGTTTAAGACTAGGACGTTTGTGAAATGTTCAAAAAACATCTTAAACAGGTGATGCAGTCATGCTTGGGTATAAAAGAAGCATACAGGGAAGGCATGCAGGATGGATTGAGTTGAAATGAATTGAATTGAATTAAAATACATCAGCAAAAAATCCAAAAGTTTAAAGGTGCCGTAGATGGAAAACTGTGTTTACACTCGCAGAGTTGAATAAGGAGAGTTTGGTACATAGAACTGACATACTGTGAATCTCAAACACTGATGTTTCCTCCTTCTAAAACAAATCCTGCATTTGCAAAAGAGGGTGGTAAAACGAGCTGATTCCAAAATCCTAAGCTGAGTAGTCAGTAAGAGTCTTGACTCTCTAAAATTTACGCCCTCAAAATTTACATACAGCAACACAGCAGATGTAATGTTACTGTTCCAGACTGTGAAGTTGATGTTGGTGCTTTTCATACTCTTCCCAAGCAACCGATCTGTCAGCATGCAAGGCTGATATTCATCTTTAAACAAGGCTGAATTTGACTTCCTATTCGCCAGCTTCTTAATTGAATATTCCATTCTACCTTAAATGCTTAATCTTGTACAGATGCCAGAATGTAACTGCGGCACCATTTAAGGTGGAACAGAAAATTCACAAAACAGGTTGGCGAACAGGAGGCAAACTCCCACATCTTTAATGAGATGTCTGAGGAAGGACAATGGTCTGGGGCTGCCCTTAGTTCCAGTAAAGGGAACAATTATGCTACAGCATACAAAGACATTTCAAACAATTACATGCTTTTGTGGCAACAGTTTGTGGAAGACCATACTGTTTCCAGCATGACCGGAAAGTGAGCTCCATAAAGACATGGTTTGATGAGTTCGGTGTGGAGGAACTCGCACAGAGCCCTGACCGCAAACCCACTGAACAGCCCTGAGTTGAACTGGAAAGTCGCACCAGGCTCTCTCGTCCAGCGTCAACAAATGCTCTTCTGGATGAATGGGCAAACATTCCCACAGACACACTCCAAAATCTTGTGGAAAGCTTCCCAGAACAGTGCAGTCTGTTAGGGCTGCAAAAGGGGGTCAACTCCATATTAATGCCCATGATTTTGAAAAGGAATGCCATACATGCTCATTTAGGTGTGATGGTCAGGTGTCCACATACTTCTGGCCATATAGTGTTTGCATAACAAGAAGTCAATGTAAACTGAAAAAGACCCTGTAAGACACCGTAAGAGTTAAATATGTCAGTGGACTTTGTAGTTTAAGTGGTCTGCACTAGTTTGAGAAAAGGCAATGCACCTTTGTCAGACTCTGTTTTTCTCTTTAATTTAACACAGTGTAGCTATCCCTGCTTCACAAGAGAGACACTGACCTTTAGGATCATGGCTTCTATCTCACTTTCTCCCCATCTGATGACTTCCCTCTCTTATCCAGAAAAAGCACAAGACAAACCCCTAAACCAAAACAATTTACATTCCTATTCTCTGTTTTTGTCCCTCTCTCTGTCCCCTCCTCCAGCCCCTCCTGTTGTGCAGACTGGGTGATGAGCTCTATTTTAGACGCCCTTGCCCCGGGCGCTGGTACCTCAGAGCAGCACAGCACTGCTGGGAGGGGCTTCAGGGCCTAGGCTGTGGAGTTTGACCACTATGCTAAATTTCCTGTCCATTAGAAGAACTTTTATTTCTGGAGCTGGTATACAGAGAGAGGTCACCATGCTCTTCTTCCAAACTTGACCAAGCTCCACCGGGACAGAGGACAGGCGGGTGGGAGCTGATTGTGGTTCAGTTCATGTATATGATAAGCCATGGATATATGTTGTATACAAGGAGCTGAGGGGAGTAATCCAAGAGAGTGATTCCTTTACTGTGCAATGCTGAGTAGCTAACTGTTTTTGTCTTCAGTTAGAAGTTCTCCTCTTGGGAACATATCCAGTGGAAGCCAGTCTGCTTTAAGCTTTAGCTCAGCTATAGTGGCTTTTCTCACATTTCCAGCAGGAAACTTTTTCGCAAAAGTACATAGTTTCTTGAAAAATGTCTCACAACATAAGATTTTTTACAAGGCTGAAGTCAGCTCCTCATTTGCTAGCTTCATGTTGGAAGTTGCGAAGATGAAGTCGGCTTCTTGTTTGAATTTTCCCGTTCCGCAGTTACATTCTGGCGTCTCTGGCACCATTTAAGGTGGAACGGGAAAATTTGAGCGAGAAGCTGGTGAATGAGAAGCTGACTTAATCTTCTCAACTTTTTAGTGTTTGACAGTTTCTCACTGCAGATTAAAAGTATCAGAAAACCAGCTAGAGTTCTCATTAATGCAAAACATCTGTCCACTTGTCTCAATTATTTAAATGTTTGTCTCAATTATGTAAATGTCTTAAATCTTTCTCTTTCCCTTTTTTTCATTAGCTACTAGCTAGGCGAGACTGTTGTCTGTGTTGCTGTGTGACCAGCAGTCTGCACGCCAACCTTCAGAGTTAAAGGGTGAATTAGCAGATATAGGCTGCATTAACTTCAGCATTTCTGACCATTTAGTGTTAGAATGATCAGCAGAGCTTTATTTTATAGCAGTACTGGATTATTTTATTTTTACCTAAAAATCAAATTCTGCTGTGGAGCCGCGAAAGGGCAGTAAAAGATTCACATGCAGCTCCAGAGCCGCATGTTGCCGACCCCTACCCTTACAAGTGTTACACCAGTTACACATTAATAATGAGAAACATTAAAAAAAAAAAATTGTTAGACCCATTTAAGTAACATT